CGAGACTTTGGTACTCGAGACCGAGACTAAGTCACGGTCTCGTCTCGAGATGTCGAGACGAGACGAGACCAACCCTAAGTCTCGTCTAGTCTCGTCTCGCGGCACCACTAGAAATTTTGCATGCTTTCAGCTTTTTTCAAATGGAGATGCCCTATATTTGGTTCTATATTCTTGAAGAGCACAATTTCTTGATTCCAAAACTATATGGTTTGTCTGTATTTGGTTGAGCCGTCTCCAACATATTTGGTTCTAAAAATTTTTAAAATACTATCAGAGAAACCAAGGACCTCAAATTTTATCTGCAGCTTTCACCTGTACAGGTAGAATGGTTTACAAAATCAGTAGTAATATAATTTTCAACACTGTGTTTTGTGTGGTGACCTGTCATTCAGAAGGTGGCGTTCTATCATTGAAAAGTTGAATCGTTCAGCAGAACCAAGAGTTTACCCAACATATTCTGTTGGTATTTGTAAACCGTTTACAATCCGTTTTGGTTCTGGTGAACGTAGCCATTGACAAATTATATTCACCATTCACAGATGACATTTGCTTGTGGCTTTGTATACTAGCGCCGCATAGCTTTGGCAGTCATGAAGCTCCACACGTGTTATTTTCGAGACAGCTCCGAACGAACATTTTACATGGAAGTTTCCTATCTTTAGGACGGGTTAATCTGTGTTCCTGACATTCAAATTTTGTTTTTGACCATGGTTTCCAAAAATTTAGCCAAAACTATACAACACCCTGTACACACTAAAAAGGAATTCAAATTAATAAATGATTTTTTTTAAATTGTATTGAAAGCTGAAAATACTTGTAATATCTCTCAAAAAGTACTTCAGAGATTCCAGATTTCAAGATTCCAGTTGCAGATTGTTACTTTCAATTTAACGATTTAAAATTTATCTAGGAAAGGTTGATTAAGAAATAAAGTGCAGTGGGATTGTTTTAAGATACCGATTTATTAAAAGAAAATAAACTTTTACAAAAAATAATATTTAAAAACTCAAACTACACTTCGCATTGATGCCGAAATACTTATTAGAACATGTTAATTTCACATTTTGTGAAGTATGTATTTGAATTATTTTTTTTGTAAATCCAAGTACTAAATACAAATACTTTATTTAAAGTACGTACCTATTTGCAGAATCAAGTACAAATATCCAAAAACAAAAGTATTTGAATTAGGTATAGCTAGTACTTATTCAAATACTAAAAAGTAATTCAAATACATTTTCCAGGTAATTTACTTGAAGTACTAACAGCTCTGAATAGACAGAACCGGAAAATAAAGATTCTAGTAAGTTTTTCAATTTTCATCATTTTCCTTTTATCCCATCAATTTCCTTTTATCCTCATTTCAGGCTCTTTTGGATTTTCTTTTAATAATAGTATAGACAAAGAGTGACTTATATTGTTATTAATTAAAACAGTTATTTATTAGTTCAGGATTGTTTGATGCTAATAAATCACGCATAACGTGCTAACAAAACATCATCTCCATAAAAAGATCAAAAATAAAATATCTCTATTTTTATCCAATATTGTTTGTAATAAATTAAAACATCTAATTAACATATATGTTTTGACGATTTGTTTGTTTTCAAGATGAAACTAGGCTGAATAAATAAATGCATTTTGTAATTTTACTATGCATCGATCGTCCTAGGCAGATAATTAAATTTTAACGCCAGTATATAGGTAAATCCTTTCGTAACCTTTGCAATTTTCTAATATCGGTAAGTATGTTGCGTGTCCGGCCTTCTCGCCCTTAAAATAGATTGCCCATAGGGTAAGGTCACTGGTGTTTGTTTGTGCTGCTTTTTTCTTGAATTTTAATGGTAGATATAAATAAAATCAAATTTAAAAGGGATGGGAAACTTTAGAATCTCTCTAGAAACAATACAATTTAATGGTATATGGATGGATGCTTCTTTGCTTGAAACACTAATGAATTAATCCATTTAAAGGCTATTTCTAGTTTTCAAAAGGTCAATCGTTGATCCTATTAAAATGTAAAAGGATTATAAATAAGCAGAATCCATTTCAAATAGATTTTGTTTCAATTATTCTGTCAAGTTATTATAAATAAAGAAAACTTAGAAAAGCTTGGGAACAGAAATATAGGCAATAAATTATGTTGTCATACTTACATAAAGATACTGTTAATGATTTTTTGATTGGATTTACAAATTAACAAAGATTAGCACTATATAATAATTATCTTTGCTAATCTTTGTCGTTGATTGTTACTAAATCAATATTATTGCAATAAGGTGCGACAAAAATCAATCAATTGCATTTTTGTTCTGATAAGTTAATCCACTATCTCGTAACATCTGATTCATAGAAAATGTATTTGGTATTAGAAACTTCATTGTTAGAAACCTATAGAATTTGAAAAAAACAGTGAATTATTGGAATATATTTAAAAGGATGATTTTGTCCTCCAAATATAATATGAAACAGGAAACTGGGTTGGTATCAGAGCTGTCAAAGATACCTACTTTTAGAAAGTATTTAGTTACAAGATAAGTTACTTTTGGCGTTGTTGAGTTTATTTGGTCCACAGGTTTCAGACTCAATTCCAAAAACAAGAATTTTTAAAGTTTAAAATCCCAAATTCGGGAATATAAGGTTCAAAATCGCAGGACATAGAAAGTTATCACAGTTACAATCACAAATCATAGTTAAATTTTTATAGAATATTATGCATAATTCGCGGCGTGAACTTTTAAAGTACAGAATCGTCAATCAACTCTTTTGATTAATGAGTGTACACTCACTTGCAAAGCCGGTATGGCTGAGTACAAATGGATAAATACATAAAACGTAAGCTTGATGTTGTTTGAAGTTTGAACCAGTTTTATTTTGTTGGGTCGGGTTTGGGTAAACGTCTTAAGAAATTTTTTTCACTGTAGGTACTTAACTAATACTTTTCGTTAATTTAGATTATACTTTTCACTACTTTTCAGTATCTACCTACTTTTAAGTATCTGAAATACTTTTTGGTATTCAAGATACTTTTTTAAGATACAAGTTACAGATCCTTTTGAAAAGTAACTAAGATACTAGATACTTTTGCCAAAAAATAAAAAGTATTTAAGATACAGTAGCTTAGATACTATAAAGTAACTAAGATACTTTTTTCTGACAGCTCTGGTTAGTATACACAAAGACCAACTCATACAAAACTAGCTCATTCCTACCATAGTGCCAAACATCAATCCAAAATCCAGGATTATTCAAATTTTTCTTATCTTTAACGAAATAAAAATCTTAAGAAAAAATACTCAACTAATATGTATTAATCAGACAATTCTTAGATAGAAATGTAAAAATCAGAAAAAAACTTTTCTCAAGATAACTACAACTAGTGAATAAATAATTGTAAAACCAAATTAAAATCTGTTCAATTTTGAAGCTTCCCAGGTGCAAAACTGTTGGAATTGATTGGTTTGTAGATAATTTAATTGGCTTTGATTCCAGCTCAATTACGTTGAAATTGGATGAACATTAGAGGAGCTGTGAGCCAAAAACTGTCTCAATGTCATTTTTAGATAACTTCCAATGTTCCATAAATTCAATTTTGAAGCTTTTCAGTTGCAAAACTGTTGAAACTAAATCAAAATCTTGATCAATAGGTTTGTAGAAAGTTTAATTGACTTCAATTGGAGCCTCATCACAATAAAATCGGATGACGATAAGTTCAGTTTTGAAGCTTTTCAGGTGTAAAATTGTTAAAACTTGATTAAAATATTAATTAATAGGTTTAAAGAGAATTCAATTGACTTTAATCAGAGCTTAAACATACTGAAATCGGTTGAAAATTAACGTAGTTGTGAGGCAAGCACTGTTTCAAGCTTCGTTTCAAGGTTATTTCAAAAAGTTGGCAAATAAATTAGTAAAATGCAGTATACAAAATGGGTTTTTGATTTGAAGCTATTGAAGAATTTCAAGGCCTCAAAGTGTTTTCAAATTTATGATTTAACACTCACGACAAGACGTTGGAAGTCTTATTCCAAATAGAAATGTCTTATTTTGGATATCTTTTTTAAAAAGATGTTTGTGGGTAGGTAATCTTACTTAACACCCATTTTTAACCTTGGCTGAATACTGACACTAATTTATTTTAGACGTCTTCAAGAATTTTTAGAAGATGTCTGTAGGTAGTTTTACCTATGACTTATTTTGTCTTGATGATTTCAAACATTGGGCGACTAGGATCATCTTAAACATTTCAAAAACATGTCTGTAAATAATCTCAAATAAAACCAACTTTGAACATTGTCATTGACTAAATAGGTACGTTTTCAAGACGTCCACGTCAGATTTTAAGTTTCGAGAATGTTGAAAAGTCATCTGAATGTTAGTCTTATTAAATATTGACGTCACATTTCAGACGTCTGTAGTTAAAAGACCAATTTAATACGTTTAAATATCGATGTTTTTGAGACATAATCTTTTAGGTTGTTAAAAGACGTAGAAGGGACACCAGTTTTGACTGACAATACAATACAATGTCCAAAAGAAACACAAGAATTTTGTCTGACAATAACATATGTAAGGCTTTGAAGTTCCAAAGTGGATGTCCATGTGACGAATCAAGAAATTAACGTTCCTGTCAGCCCAATGACCAAAAAAAAAACTTCATTTTACTATTTGAACATTGATTTGAACTATATCCATAACACAATTGGAAATACATATTAAACAAAAAAAATACTGAAATAAGTGATCTCACTATCATCCAAATAAAGCTTAATTAAATTTCCTATTTAAAAATGCAATACACTACATAACAAAGGAAAAAAATTAACAAAATAGCGACACGGTGTAGAAGCACAACACAACAATGAACCTCTTCCATATCAATCAGTTGACATCTTTTTTTTTTACCGACATGCAACAAATATACAGTTGTTTCTGGTATGTTGGTTTAAAATAGAAATAATAAAAAACAACTAATGAAAGTGAACTGATAGAAAATAACTTACCTAAAAGTTCTTTTTGTTCTAGCTTTAGTTTGAGTTCTTCGATTGTGCTGTTTCTTATGAAAGGTTGATCGATAATCAGATCCTGTAAAGAAAAAAAAGAAGTAGGTATTGTAATAATTACGATTGTAATCCTTCATCTAATAAAAATCTATCATTTTTCAAGGCATATAAGTCTATGATGACTGGAGACTTAATTGGGATATTGAAGAAACTAGACATAAATGATTATTATTACTTTTGTTGCTCCATATTCACAAATAGCAAATTCACTGTTATCAACACTTTCAACTTCAAAAACATGATCTTCAGTAGTTGGAACTTCGCTTTTTCCAATTTCAGCTGTCTCTATATGATCATTAACAATTGAAATTTCTTCCGGATTTTCCATTGTGCGCTATCCGTATTGTTGACACTAAAATTGTAATGGTGCGAAAAGCGTGACTGTTATCTTTGTACTGATAAGATCTTCAACATGACAAAAATATCAAACGAGGATTTTATTCTAATTAAGAGGTGAATTATTATGAGGCAAACAGATGCTGCATTGGAATCTTCAAATTTAATAAAACCTCGTTATCTAATACCCTATATGATAAAACAAGGCAAAAATTAATAACCAAACTTGTAATATATGGCTCAGATAATGAGGATTTATGTGTTGTTCCCTGGAAAATGGAAATTGAGGAATGCTTGGGAAATACGTCACATTGATAAATACAATGAAATTTTTAATATAGCTTAACGATGCATAATTACAAAGACTTGAGTTCAATATGAATAAAATGCCCCTATAATCAGTAGTAAATTTAGTTCATCCGTTCATTAGGGACCCTCACTCATATTGATGACAATATCATCTAAATTATTAGTATAATATGAAGTCTGTATTAGATTTAATTGAATTTTAGAATGCGTTGCAAATATGATTGTATATGGACTCATAAGCTAAATTTTCAACTGAACTAACTAATCAATTAAACATTAAAATAATTATTCATATCCAATTAAAGTGCAAACGCCCTTGAACAAGTTTTATTTTTAAATTCTCAACTGGATCAAATGAATTCATAAGTTGTCTGCTTGACTAATAAATTGATTGAGTAAAAGTTACTAAATAAAAATTTTCTTTCAAGTTTTTCATACAATATTATTGAAAGTCTATAAATTTTCTCGTGGCAACATATGCCGTTTTATCTCTTTTTAAATAATTTATTGTTTTTAACAAATTTGAATACCGTTATTTATTTATTATATGTTGATTTGAAAGTAACAAAACAACAGGACATGCATTATAGGTACATATATTGAAGATTAATATTGTTTCGTTTGTGAAAGTTTTGATATTATTGTTTTAATTTGAAATTGATATGCATAATGTTTTTGATAACAATATTTATCAATTTTTGTCTATTCTTGGCTCTTGAAATTGTGGAAATAAAGAAAATTCAAGAGCCTGGAATAGAAAAAACATTAATTTCCACTTATCTTCCAATTTGCAAAAGATTTTGTCCCTGTACTTTAACAGTGGCGGATAGGTACAGTGGGGGCAGGGGGAGCATTTGAAAAAAACTGGAAGCATGCAAAATTTTACATTTTTGATATTCAAATTTTGTTTCTGACCATGGTTTCTAAAAATTCAGCCAAAACTGTACAACTTTCTTCTAGGCTGTAAAGTGAGGTGTCAATATATAAAAAAACACCCTTGACTAATCGTAGATCTTCATTGGGGCTCCAAGAAAGGCAATTTTAGTAAGAAATGTATTTTCAGTTAAAATTCTAGATTTTTAAGATTCTCCATTCCAAAAGTCCAGGTTCAAAAAAGACCTGGGTGAACTGCTGTGGATTGAAAAATGGTCAAAAATCTTTCTTCTACCTGTGAAGGTAAAAGCCGTAGGTGGGATGTCAATATACAAAAAAAAAACGCCCTGTACAAATAAGAGGATTATTGTGGAACTTATGGGTGGACTCGCTGCGCTCATTCCGCAGCTATCTACTCACCAATATACTGTTGAACTGTTCAAATAAGACACTCACCTGAAACGTATAGTTTTTGAACTAATGAGAAAAATTCACAACTGAGTGAATCAAGTTAGTATTGTATTTGAACAACATATTGATAAATAGATAACTAGGTCCACCCATAAGTTTCGCAACAATCTACTCGTTTATACTTGAATTACTTGTCACAATACCTATATTACTATTTCGTTTAGTAAAGTAACATTTCTAATTCCTGTTCAAAGGCGAATTGACAATAAAAAGTAGATAATCTATAAATTCTGACTTTATATAATAAGTTATTCTTCAAATACAAAATATTAGATATAACTTTAGTCAGCTCCAGTATTAGAGACCTCATCAAAAACTGGAAAGTATCAACCCTACCATCTCTGTGTCAGATCACAGGATAATTGAGTTGAACCTAGATAATGTAAAATACAATAGAAGTAGCATAAGTATACCCTAAGCGGTCTCCGCATGCGCAGTAGACATTTACTCTGACCTTGAAAGTGACGCCAGTGACGTCATTCGACCTTGGCCTTGAAAGTTAGCTATTTAACAAAAAAAAAAAAAAAAAAAAAACCTCCCCCCCCTTTCCCCCCCCCCCCCCCCCCCCCCGCCACCCCTCCCCGTGACATCATTTGACCTTGGCCTTGAAAATTAGTTGTCACTCTTTGACTAAAAAATTATCCCACCCCTCCCCATTGAAGGTCATCTTTTACTCGCCCTTGTATTTCATTTGACCTTGCTCTTATAAGCTGTAAGTTAAAAAACCTTGAGAGACATGTGATTCAATACACTAGTTGGGAAAGGAGGGGAGTTTTGTGAAGATTTTCTTATAAAAGAAGCTTCATACCATGTAGTAAGTCACATATCAATTATAGCAACCAGTCATCCCATCCTAAGATTATAAAGAAAATATTGTGTTTATAGAAACCAGTCGTCGCATCCTAAGATTATAAAGAAAATTCTGTGTGTAGTGTTGTGTTTTCATAATTCAATTCGTTCAAGGTAATTTTTTTCAAGTATCTCTATTGCATATTATTATTCTCAATAATGAGTATTTCAAAACAAACCATAGATGAAATCAATAATAAACTTAACCAAGATATTGAATTTGTTGAGCGAAGGTCCATAACATCTTTAACAATTGGAAAAGTTTACATTATTAAAAAAATGGTATTACTATCTTCACGTTTCGGTAAAACTATTTTAGCTACATTATATGACAAAACACATGATGAAACCTTTCAATCATTTCTACCGAAACGTGTCACAGAAACTCTTGCAGAGGATACTATAGCGAGCATGAATAAGTTATGTGATAAATATAGTTTAACTTATTTGGGTCAAAGCTTGCGAGTATTTTCTGGGGGAAATACAAGAGCAATTTTAAACTTTGGTGTTTTGGAATAACTGTAAATTCAAATTCAGAGTTTAATAAAAAACAAAAAGCATAATTAGAGATTTTTTCAAATTTTTTGAAATATTATTTACACAGAAAAAAAACACACATAATTTTTTTTATTTATAGATGTATCACAATAGTACAAACGAAAATCAGATTTCTCACATCAGATATCTGGCAGTGCAGCTGAAAACAATGTCTGAGGACATTATAGTGCTGGCCGAACAATTCGAAGGTGATGCTTTGAATTACAAAAAATTTCTCGACGATTCAACCAATTTTTGTAATGGGGCACTTATATGTGAGAAATATGTCTTTGGCTACATCAACCTAGAATCATTTGTCGAGGAAATGCTGGACGAGGGCTTGAAGGATTTTGTGGTGCAAGTTCCACATATCCCATATGCTCTTGCTGAGAAGCATAGGTTGTATGAAGACATTGGAATTGACGCAGCTGGTGAAGAATTATCCCAACAATGTTAATAATAAGATGTTACCTTAAGTGAACAATTTCTGTAAAAAATCTAATAAATGTTCTTGATTGTATTTATATTTATAGTTTTTTTTTCTGTGCACAACAAAATTTATCCTATGTATAAAGATGGATGCATAGATTATAATATGGTATTTGTTCACAAAAACGTAAGTGATGAACAACACAATCGATAAGTTTGGTAGTCGATGGCATAAATCGGGTAGTGAACCCGTTCGGGGTTTACGTGGTGTTGGTTTCAAGCTAAGTTCCACTAATCAATATGACGTAGGGGAAAAATCATTAACTAATTTATCAGTTCCAAAAAGCAATGGTGATATTACTACAAAATTGTATGTAGATACAGCATTCCATATGTTGCAACAATCATTAACTAATTTAATAAACGTAGATATGATCGATGTGATGAAGAAGATTATTCATGAAGAAGTATTTAGCATAGTTGGTAAAAGAACTTATGATCTTGAACAAGCAGATCGTGATAAGGAAAAATGTAAACAAACCTTTATAACACTGAATGGAAAGTTGATTGAGCTAGAAAAAAAAATCAAAAGATCGTTACTACGTATATAAACATGCGGACTTAAAATCTAGTAGAACAGTTATTCGAAAATATGAGTGCGATAAACAACACAATTGATAAGTTTGGTCGTCGAGGAAATAAAGTGAACGATTCAGCAGTTCGTGGGTTACCTGGAATAGGTTTTAAGCTCGATGTCAATGACCAATTTGATATGGAGGGCAAGTCCTTAACTAACGTATTAGAGCCAAAAAATGATTGTGACGCAACCACCAAAAAATACGTTGACAATACAGTAATACAGCTACGACAAACAATTGCGAATATGCTAAATGGTGAAATACATAATTTAATGGTGAAGATTATCGATCAAGAAATAGATAAAGCCATTCCTACGGAAACTCAACAACTAAAGCTAGCAATTCTGGATAGACAAAAGTGTATGCAAGGGCTTGAAGTGATGGAAAAAAGGATTAGTCATTTGGAATTTAAATTTTCTTGAAGACATTGTATTGGTGATGAGAAGTTCAAAATAGTTGTAGTCGTTATATTATGATGCTTTAGTTAATAAATAAATAAATAAATAAAACAAACTGCTCACTTAAATTAGATAGTTTTATTTCAGGTAAATTTAAACAATATCAGCTAAATTAATCCATGAGTTATCGGATTCCGGAAAACCCAACCATTTAACAAACAACTGATCCATTGAATTTTTCTTTCGACGACGAATTATTTTCTCAATTAAGTATACATGAGGATTCCTGGTTTTCTGTAATTCGGCTTCATAAAAACATCCCTTAATGATTTGTCCATCCAAAGATTCTAAAGCATATGTTGGTGGATTTGTGATCTTGACCTGGATAATTTTAAATAATTCTGTAGACCATGATGCAGTATATCCTTTTTCGAACAAACTCTTATATTTACTAATGCGTACAATATCACCAACATCAAATTTAAAAAATTTGGGAGCAATTTTTGGGTTATCATAGATGCTTAAATTTGTGTGCTCTGTTACATCTACTGGTTTCATTCCTATGGTGCGATGAATAGTGTGATTATAGCTCTTAGTAACTTTTGGTAGAAGTTTCAACCACCTATATGTACCTCTTGCAGAAAATTCCTTATACAAACGATTTTTTATTGTTCTGATAACTCGCTCCACGATTGCTGCTTTTTTCGTGCTATATGTGGAATAGTGATTTATATGAAATCTATCCATTAAACTCCTGAATTGTTGGTTGTAAAATTCGGTACCATTGTCACTTTGTAGGTTGTTGGGTGAGTATTTTGCATTCCTGATAATACTTTCCATAGCTTTAGTAACTTCGAATGCAGTTTTAGTTTTTATAGATTGAGAATATACATATTTCGAAAAACAGTTTATGCATATCAAAATATATCGATAACCATCATTTTCATTGGCATATTGTTGCATTTCTATTAAATCTATTTGCCATAAATCCCAATAACCCTTTATTATTGTGCGCCTTCTCCGAAAGTTTTTTCGTGATGATCTATGCAATTCATTTACAACCGCCCATTTTATAGGTGTGGGTTCCATATCTATTCAATGAATGTTCAGTAACTACTGATAATTATAATATTCACCACACCTTTAATAAACTATACCTTCTTCTCTTAATTCTTCGATGATTGAAATTATTTCATTATCATGACCTGTGTGACCAACTGTTTTTGATGCACACAGAAGTCGCAACCGATTTACTAGTTCTTTCGGTTTATTCCAATAGACATACTCTATACGTCGCTTGGATAATAATTTATTTGATGGTATTTTACCACCCTTGGTGTGCAGCCCACTACCTTGAGTTGGTTTAAATAATGGATCTAACAATTCACTAAATTTGGGCCACCTTGATGTTCTTATTTTTTTATCTTTATTATAGTTATGGTTCATAGCATGAGTACGCTTCAATATTTCTCTATATGTTTCCAAAGTGTTATCCGATAACTTAGTCAAATTATCTAGAACTTTTGGTTTTTTTAAAAAAAGTAAATCATACAATTCATTACTTCCTTTGAAAGATCCGATTTTTTCATTATTTCGCCATAAATCAATATTACCAGAATTAAATTTTGCTTCAGCATCTCCAATGAAATATTTGTTTTTGTGTTTTTTCTCTGTCCTAACTCCATAGACTGTGTCGTATTCGGATGGTTTATTATATAGTCCCTCAATGTATATCTCTGGTGAATTTTCTTCGTATGAAGCAACAGAATTCTCTTCATCTGAATCGCTACCATCAAGAATACCCTTCCACTTTCGATGGATAGGTGTAAAAAAGTTACTTGAGATATCTAATTCCGTCTTTTTTTTCGAAGTGGGTCTATCAGACTGTAAAACATTTTGTAGTTTTTGTTTCTCTAAGGATTGAGACATAGAATTGAGGGGTTTTGTTACCGGCTCATACATCTTCTCTAACATCAACTTGTCATCTGCTTGCATGGCTTTAATTTCTCTAAATTTCTTTCTCACGGCTTCGGTCGCTTCAATCAACTCATTTTTCAAATTCAGATCCTCACTCATGGTGTTGTCGTAGTATGGTTTTATGGTGAACTAATAAAAAGTTACATCAATTTAGTGATATATAGGATGTGAAACCTTTACGATATCGTCCCGAACTGCAATCACTGTCTTTATCAATTACGAGAAACCCATATTTATCGCTCCAGCAAAGAGCACACATTTCCAGGAATTTTTGGAAAGTCATATCAGGAGCTACATGATCAGAAAAAATATGTCGCAAATTCATCTCATCTTGTTTAAATAAAGCGATAAAATTAGCGTTGTCTCGTACAAGTTGTTTTGGAACTCTGGAATAAGTCTGCGCTAAGTAGAAGGAGTCCACATTCTTATGACGCCCCATACTGAAGTATGACCTTATAACATCCTGCTTTTCACACATAACATCATCAAAAATGAATATGGAATTGGGTTTTGCCTCTGACGGTTCAACAATATTGGTGGTATCACTAAAAGTGTAAAATCCAAGTCCTTTAACAGTCGCCATAACTTTTCTAAGATATTCATACTTTGGTTGGTATAACGATTTAGAATATATATAAATGTTCTCAAATCTTAACCCAAGTGGATGAGTTAATAAGGAAATCATAACATTAGTCTTGCCACAGTTTGATGGTCCAATAAGTAGTCCCCGAATTGATGTGGGAAAAGTATCTCCATGACGTCTTTGTTTATTCCCTTTCTCGATACCATAACCAATTTTTTCATCCAAGTTGTCTACTCGAATTTCATAAGGCAGTTGGATAATTTTCATATTTATACACAAACGAATACACACATATGCGATATATTTATATATGTATACTAGAATAAAATTCCTATTCAGTTCAATGTTATCAATCAAACGAAGTGGTCGACTCAGTAAACGTCTTGAAACTGGTGGTGGACTAGTGAATTCTATAATTAATAAACTACCATTAGAATTACATTTACCAGGAGGGTATCAGTATTGCGGTCCAGGAACTAAATTAAAGAAAAGATTGAGGAGAGGAGATTCAGGAATTAATATTTTAGATATTGCATGTAAAAAACACGATATTGCTTATTCTGAAAACAGTGATATAAGTCAACGACATCGAGCCGACTATCAGTTGGAACAAAGCGCTTGGGAACGTGTCAATTCCAAAGACGCTGATCTCGGAGAAAAAGCTGCGGCTTGGTTAGTTACAAACACTATGAAAACGAAGCGAAAACTGGGTATGGGTCACCAACCTAATTTGAAAATAAATAAGCGAAAGAAGAAGAAAACAGCTAGAAGAAAATCCAGTATTAAAGTTCGCAAAGTAGCTTTTGGATCTGCTCTATCCAAACCTATTAGAAATATTTTGAAAAAAGAAGTTCATAGTAAATTTATAGATAAGAAAAATCTTGTAAAATCAGCTAGAGTAGCACTGCTTGCGGCTCGTAAATCATTGAAGACAATTGGTGGAAAAAGGAAGGTCCGCATGCCAAGAATAATTCCGATACCAAAAGTTGGGGGAGTTCTCCCCCTACTTCCGATCTTTGCGGGTTTATCGGCTTTAGGCTCTCTAGCAGGAGGTGCGGCTGCTATTGTTCGAACAATCAAGGAAGTATCGAATCTGAAAAATAGTAACAAGAAATCAGATGAAATGGTGATTGGGAAAGGATTGTTTCTAAAACCATATCGAGCAGGATATGGACTATTCCTTCAACAATCAAAAAACTAGATATCAAATCCCTACCGCAAAGAGCGTTGACGAATATCGATCTAGAAATATATGCGAAAAGAGAAAAAATACCATATTTTCGCGGTATATTTATGCGAGATACTTTGCCAATGAATGGTCCAAACAAAAATGAAGCAGCAATAGTTAATTTGGATAGTATTAGTGGTGTGGGAACTCATTGGGTAGCATATCGAAAAACAGGCTCTATCGCCATTTATTATGATAGTTTTGGTGATTTACCCCCTCCACGAGAACTCATAAATTATCTGAAAAAGATGCGTAATGCGGTCAAGTATCTCTATTATACATACGAGCGCCAACAAAAATTTGGTACAGTTTTGTGTGGACATTTGTGCTTAAAGTTTCTCGTAAAACAGCAGTAGGGTTAAAATGTTTAAGTCAACAGATAAATGTGTCTCTCAATTTCTTATGGATTTCTATAAGCTCGGCAGCTTTATGAACTTTAGTAGAAAACAATTGGAGCAAATACCTAAAGAAGTTTTACTTGCGTGTGCTCCAGAAGAAATAGCATTGATATGGAACAAGTTACCAGAGCACCTCAAGAAGGATAAAGATATTATACAATACCAATACTGTACAGATCATGATGAGACTAGAGGTTCTGAGGATGTTATAGATGGACCACCCCCAAGAAAGCTATTTTGTTGTTATTGTAATATTAGAGATGTACAAATTAATGCTGGGGAAAAGGAATCCAACGATAACTTTTTAAACAAGTTTTGTAAGTTACAATAAAAACAATCAGTTGTGTATGGTTGCTATCAGTCATGTCTTACACATTCACCCTATCAGGACATTCTAGTGAGCTTAGTAGTGAGTTTTACCCACCAATCGATCTGGATTCTGGAGCTAAATATGGTTTGGCCTTGTTAGGATTTTATTCATATAATTCAATTTTCAATGTCGACGAGAGTAACAACTGTTTTGGATATTCCAAAAATGTCAATGGACCTTACGAAACAATAAGAATACCTCCTGGAGCCTATGAGATTTCCACCATCAATGATATTATGTTAGATGCTCTGAAATCAGCATCAAAGATCAAAAACAATAATATTTTCTCATTGAATGCCAATAACAATACTTTGAAATGCGAATTGATATCTACACTCAACTTGAATCTGGATTATCCAAATTCGATTGCCCAAATATTAGGATTTGAGAAGAAAACTTATGAAAAAAACTTGAAGCACGTGTCCAGCTTACCAGTCAACATTATGAAGGTTAGAATAATTCGGGTAGACTCCAACATAACGTCTGGTGCATTTATAAACTCCGAAGCTTCACATACAATATTTGAGTTCGACATAGATGTTGAACCAGGTTATAAGCTGAGCAAGGAACCAACTAATATTATATATTTACCGATTATTCCTGAATCACGTCAGTTTATAGACAACATTACACTTCGCATCGTGGATGATACTGGTAGTCTTATAAACTTTCGCGGTGAAAAAATTATTGTTAAACTAGAGTTAAGGAAGCTAATCTAATAAATTAAATAAATAAAAATGGGGTTTTGTTTCATTCGCACTGTGAATAATCCTCAAAAACAGAATGAAGATATAAAGTTCAATAAAAATGTAGTTCATAGTGCCAAGAATGTCATTCTTCATTCAAACGCCAAACGCAGAAGATCTAAGCTTAATCAAAAAGACTTATCGTTTCTTAAATCCTTGGGTTTAAGACTTAAAGTGAAATGTTAACTACCAGTGAAAAAATCGAAATATTCGACGCTCCAATTTTGGACAATTCTATAACAAGCTCACAGGAATATACCTATAAACCATATGGGGCTCCATCATTTAAAAATTCAGACGAAATCCGCATTCCTATACATTTTCAAGATTTGATATTAGATGTGTCTGAGAGCTTCATTTACATCGAGGGGAAGTTCACTCCTTCCGATGGGACTAAAAAGTGTCATTTATCAAATAATGCACTAGCATTTTTATTTGATGAAATCCGTCTCGAAATGGGTGGCGAACAACTTGCTGTAGTTCGAAAACCAGGTATCACTACAGCTTTAAAAACGATGGTATCATATGGAACACAAAATACAAAATCACTATATTCATGCGGATGGGGTCTTAGCGATACGAAGCGTCAAATTTGGGACCCTGTAAGCATGGTTTTCTGTGGAAAATTACCATTGAAATATTTAATGGGTTTTGCAGAAGACTACCAGAAAGTAATATTTAATGTTAAGCAAGAGCTCATACTTATTATTGCACGCACATTCAATAATTCCTACATAGGACAAGTAGATGCAAATATTACAATAGATAAAATTGAGTGGAAGATAAGACATTTAATTCCAGAGGATAGGTTGAAGTTAAAAATCCTATCTCGCATTAACAAAGGTGGAAATATGGCCGTAGTTCCTATGGCGTTTAGATCGTGGGATTTGTACGAGTTACCATCTTTACGACAAACACAATCAGATGTGTGGGCCATACGAACTTCAACTAGTTTGGAAAGACCTAGGTATATAGTTTTAGGCTTCCAATATGCAAGTTATTCAGACAATCGGGAGAAAGATGCAACGCTGTTTACGCCAGCAAATATTAGTGATATCAGGGTATACCTAAATTCTTCAGTTTTTCCATATGAAAGATGGAATTTGGATTTTTCAAAAACCCTATTTACTCCAGCCTATAATAGCTATGATCGATTTCAAAAAGCTTATTATGGAAGAGAATGTAGTGACCCTATGATGGATATTGAAGAATACATGCAAAACCCAGTTTTTGTAATAGATTGTTCACATCAAGTAGAAGCAATAAAAAACTCAACTGTGGATATAAAAATTGAATTTTCTTCAAGAAAAACTTTTCCTAAAGACACTAAAGTGTATGCATTAATTATTCATGATTCATTCTGTACATATAATATTTTGAATGGCTCTGTTATCAACAAGTCATCCATTTAATTTTTTATTGTATTATAACGATCTAGTTTTTTACACTCCAATCGCTCGAAATAATTCTGTGTTCGCATATTTTATAATGGGTAAATTTTCTGAAATCAAAGGATTTGTTGAGTTATTGAATTGCCCCCAATAGCTCAATTCTTGAATAATTTTGTATATGAAATTTGAAGTGATTTTGAACGTTGGGAAAAATGAGAAAAAGTGAAAAAATGGAGATTTTCTCAAACTCTTCAAAACTATTTTCTCGGAAAATACGAATAAAAATGGGTATCTTCTCAAAC